ATTATCATTATCTGCCTATTTGGTGGCAGCCAGTTTGCTGTCGTCCACCATTGTGTGCTACCTACACGTTCCTGTCTGATAAGCACTGGTAAAAATATTATTTCTTCATTGGAGAACATCATCCCGAGTGATAAAAACTGTAGTTTCCAATATGTCCAAAAACCAGAGGAATCTTCTTAGCTAGTACTTAAATTTTGCATTGAACCATGTGATCAGTCCACACCAGACAGATGTCAGTTGCTGCCATGGTTTTGTTCAGTACTGTATCACAAAAAGGATTAAATTAAAATCTACATTAATACCTTAGGAATACAGAAAGCATCGAAGACAGGTTTCAAGAAATGTATATGAAAAGTCTTTAAAAATTCCGACTTTAATGATTCAGGGGGAGATAAACAAATTATAAGTATACATAAATATATAAAATGTAATTATTTTTCTTTCCTTCTGAAGAGATCCATCACATGCAGCTTTATTTTGTGAGCTCTTTAAACTTCAGATATGAATTTGGTCTTTCACTGGATATTTTATTGTATTCAGTTATTGTCAAATCAATAGTTCATTTTTTTATTTAATTCAAAGGAGAATCATTCACACTGATATGTCCATTTTAAAGTAAACCATCAATTAAAACAGAAAACCTCCCTCCAAGGTAGGACAGAAAGAGATAAGGTTAGTGACAGGTTCATAATCAAAGCTCCTGTCTTTATTGAGAAATAAACACTTGTGAGGATTCTCAGTGTGTTTTATAGTCTTAACAGCTGTCAGGTCTCCCTTGATTGACCCTGAATAAAATCTAACTAGGGGTGTCAAAAAAATATGTCCATCAACTTTGCTCATGCATTACAACATAAAAATTGACTGGAGTCATTGACTACAGGTAGCAGTGAGCAAAACTACACAAGATAAATACTCTGGTTTGTGGATACTCATTCAATCCACTTTCATCTGCCACCTTGATTTTTGGATTGGGCACTCATGGATAAAAAGTAGGTGATCTGAAAAAATCGTGTGTGTCTTTTAAAAGACAGTATCATGTTATGTTACTCCCTTCACAGAAATTTATGTTACATGGTGTTAAACCATGGGCTAAGCTTAATGTAACACGATGCATTAAAAACTGCACATCGTGATTGCAATGTATGTCAGAACAATGAATTGCTACATCACATATCTCTTCATTTGTACGTAGGGGACCCATGGAAATAATTCGCAAAAGGATATATTCTCCTTTTGATGCACACACATAAATCCCTTTTTCTCTCACTGCTTCCAGTTCTTCACCTAATGGTTGGTCTGAGATAAGAAAAACTGCTTTTTAAAAAGCCTCAAGTTAGCTAGAAAAGGTTTGAGTTGTAGCTAAGCATTTACTATGGGCACAGTTTAATCCTGAAAACTGTAGGAGAAGGCTGTTTTGTAACCTACGCTCTCCAGTAGCGTCATATTTGAGGAATCACCATTGTTGCCTTCTCTACCTAGGGTAAATACTGCCGCTATAACTTTGCTGAAAATGAGTAGGTTTCTATCTGATTTTATACCACCACTTCCCAATGGGATACTGCCTTTTCAGAGAAGCATAGTTGAAACCAGATCCATCCCAGTGGTGTCTGGAGAAGGTACAAAGGTACAAAGGCAAAAATGAGAAAGGACTTTGTCCCTGACCCTTTTCAGCTTCTGCCTGGTATCTCCTTTCTCCTTAACTTAGCTTCACTATGTAACTGAGTCTTTCCTGTAACAAAACCCTAAAAAACAGCTCCCACATGAATCACCATATTTAGTAGGTATCTCACAAACTGTGCAACAGCAATCCTTTTTATCTTTGTCCGGTTCCATACCCGAGCTACTTGCCTGTATTGTGGTGCTGCACAACTCTCTGAGTGTTTTGGGGGAATATTTGTGGAAGACAATTTTGACCAGATAAGATAGATCTGATAAGAAAGATCAAGAGTTTTGCCCTACAAGCAACACTGATACTATTCTCGTATGCTGACAGTCAGGGAAATTAATTCTTGTGCACTTAGACGGTGCATAGCTGTGTGCTGGCAGCTGTACAGAGGCTTATTTTATCTACTTAACATATATTAAAAATTAAGTAAACATGAATAACTTCTATTGAAAATCTGATCTCATTTTGTAGAATCCTTTGGGGAGGCTTAATGAAATTTTATTTTCCTACAAAAAAAGATAAAATTTGAAGGCTAAATAATTTTCACATTTTGATTGATCATAAATGAAAATGAAATTACAGTCAGACTGCACACATGGTTTTGATGGGTAAACAAAATACTATAAAAGCTCATTGAGCATTTACTTATTAAAATAATGGTCTCAGTCCTGAGCTGAAGCACACATGCATTTGATCACTGGTTTTTCAATCTGTTGAAACCAACTGTCAATGGATAGACAAGGTGATGGAAACTGCCACTGGAGCTTAGTGGACTAAACCCTAGTGGCTGCACTTCCCTCTGCAAGGTTTGCTCTGATCTCAGCAGCATAGGTGGCATAATGTCTTTAATTTGAACTATACCATGTGACAAATGTACTGGCTCTAACATTGAAGTGAACTACTGGTGTAACACAAAATAGCTTCACTGCAGAAAGTCCCTTATTAGAGCCAAGCAAATAAATTTAAAAGGAGGGTAGGGATATGATCAGAATGCAGGATTAATAAGACTCAGCATTTACACACCTTACAAGTTGGCTGTTTCTTACGGGTTGTGTTTAACTGAGAGACATATTAATTGGGAACTCTTAAAAGGGACTTGTGGCATACTGCAATGCTTTTGAGTGTGTCTGCTCTTTTCTTGCAATGTAGCATACGCGTGGCCTTACCCTCTTAAGCTAGCCTTTCACATAGAAGTTATGGGTTGTAGGCAGCACTTTGCACCCTGGTGTGCTTGCTTGCAAGTATATTAGGTGCACTGTGCACACTCCAGATTAAACATATACTACGTAATTGTTTATGTATGCAGACATTTGACATCATCAGGCTGAACAGCTGCTTCCATGAAATGGGAAAGAGAAGTAATTACTATATGTGCTCCTATCTACAAGAAAGAAACAAAATCTAGATGGACTTTTTTTAGACAGAAGGCATAGTGAATTGGCAGTAACAATTACTCCCACTAAAGTAAATTTGTACAAAACATGTAACAAACTGCTTTGAAAATATTGGTTATGTGGAGCCAGATGGAAGCTGGAATGACCAGGTGACACTAGTCAGGGGAGACAAAATCATATTCACAGCAAGTGCAGCTTTACATGTGAGCTGCTGGGAAGGTGCAATACAGGGGAAAATGCAAAGATGGATATGTTTAAGGGTCCCACATATGGAATGCCTTGCTCTGTATGTCAGCGTAGCTAGAGCATCAGCAAATTATGTTTAGGCACCTGCCTCTATGCAACAGTGCTCTCATAATGGCTAGCGCTAATAGATCTTATGAAAAACCTTCAACCAGATGCAACACAAGCAGAATGCTGCCAAAAATCATTGAAGAATTGACAGTTTCTGTACCATCCAAAAGGCACAACAGGATTCACAGTCATCATAAAGGATTGTATTCAACTCCAGTTGAATTAATCATTAATTCACATGGAAATGTATCTATGACTGACTAGGTTTAAAATTGTTGCAAAGGAGCTCTGGAAAACAAACTCCCCCCAACCTTTATTTAGAAAAGAGTGTCTGTCCCAGAAAGCATTATACATACTTCCCTGCACACCCAGACATCCATACCCTTAGAAATAAAATTGCTGGGGTTTTAAACGTTAATTAATATTTTTCTATTATTGATACAAACATGTATTAATAACAAAGTACATCATGCTTTCTGACACATTTTACAATATACTCTATGATCCACCAATAACACCTTTTCCACATTTTCATCATATATGCTTAAATTTGAACACAGACTTGGTGTATTTTCATCTATTTAATTAAGTGAATTTGCTGTAAGAAAACAATTGCATTCTACTTCTAAAATTCCGTAGCTGAGCCTAAGCATGGTCAGTAATGCAAGTTAATGCTTCAGAGTTAGAAATAAAACATTTTTAGCCCTTGGAAATATGAGTTATTTTCTTAATATTGCTGTTTCTAGACAATTTTTATTTTTGTACTGTTATTTGTTGTTGGCCTCACTTACTGAACAACTTTGTCAAATATAGAAATGACATTGAAGATTATTCTTGAAAACAAAAAAAAATGTGTAGCTGTAGTAATGGTAATAATGGTAGTAATTCAGCTTTATTTGCAGACTTACATATTTTCAAAGAGTATCTGGCATAACTTGCTGCCCTGAGGTGACTTTATGATACCAGTTCCCTGGTTTATGTTACATATTAAGCTCTGCACCTTTAAGACTGGCTCTGAGAATGAAGGGGGGAAGAAGAAGCCGCAGTTTGTGTTGAGGACAAACATCACTCACCCACATCCTGCTCCTGGACTGTGGTATCTGCAGCATGGACAGACAGCAGGACAGAGATCCTCTTTTACAGTTAGTTAGTTTTAGCTAGCTGAGGAGTTCACTGGACTTTTTTTTCCTTTTTTCCTTGGATCTGTGCAAACCTGCTCTGGACTGAACACCCAGCCAAACCCCAGGAGCTCACAGCTGTGGCCCACCGGGGCCTGGGCCTCGGCACTTTCCAGCACCAGAGGGACTGATAAACACGTGAGCAGGCCGAGCTACACCACATGAAAAGGACTTTTCTTCCTTGATTTGCCATCTCATCGAACAATGAGAGGTTTTATTGTTTAATATTATTCAATTTCTGTTAAATAAACAGTTTTTTTCCACTTCTCTTCAAGGAAATATTTTTTTCCCGAACCAGTTGGGGGGAGGGGCCATTTGAATTTTGCTTTTCTGGGAGAACCCCATTTGGAGGTTCTCTCCCAAATTTGCCCTGAACTAGGACAAATACAGTTCTTGGTGCCCAACACGTGGCTTCAGAAAGTGGAAAAAACGTGTACTGATTACTAATTGCATTTTGGTTGTACTTACTCTGTACTGGGATAAAGTAGTCAGTAGCCATGTTGTTTGGATGCATAATGTCTCCTGGGGTGGAGTCCTTCATGTGGTTCTGGTCCTTAGACTTTTTTGAGGTTTTAATACCTCTGCTTTACCTCTTTTACAGTAGAGGGGCACGGATTAGAATAGTTATTGTGCTGGGCCCAGTGATACTGATTTATAGGAAGTTCATAAAAGTACCGAAGTTTCTGCCAGGTATGTTTGGCTTATGGTTTCTTTGTCCAACCCTGCCTCCCAGTCCCAGCAGGACATTTTGGGAGTTTATTGGTAATTGCACACAGTTTGTTAGAGGAAGAGCAGGGGATGAGGCTTTTCAGCCTTTTCTTTCCTTCTTCTCCTTTGAATCTGTTATGTCCCTCTTTGAGAATATCCAGTTTCCCCTGAATCTAGTAGGCTTCCTTGGTACAAGTTTTCAGCTTGTCTAGAGTGAGGGCTGAGATATCCAGAGGAGCTAGTGAGACCCCTGCCCCAGAAGTAGACTCAAGTAGGAAATCCTGAGTGGTGTAGAGAATGGGAGAGAATGGGTTGGACTCTACAGAAATTTTCTGATCTCCCAGCCTTGGAATTTTCATGTGAACAAATTCAGAACCCAGATGAAGTAGGGAAATATCTGGAAGAGAACTGCTATGGCAATTCCAAGGAGAAGAATATCATTGCAATAAGCTGGACCCTAGCGTATGCTTATCACATGCTGCTAGATACTGTAGGGCAGGGAGATAAATCAGCAGCTATCCCAGTCACTCAGGCTGCAGCCAAGCCAGCAGCTAAAACAGACAGTGAGCCCAAGCCAGCAGCTAAAACAGACAGTGAGCCCAAACCAGCAGCCAAACCAGACAGTGAGCCTAAGCCAGTGTCTGTTGCTCCTACCATGAGAGGCATGAAATTCAAAACCAAAACCAATTGGCCAGTAGATGATGATAATGGTGATGCGGGGGAAGGACCCTCAAGTCCAGTAATTGACCAAAAATCAGAAGGTGTTGATCCTTCTCCCTGAAGGACCTTCGTGGCCTAAGAAACTATTACACTCAATGACCTGATGAATCTATAATTAGTTGGTTAGTCTGTCTGTGGGATGCTGCAGGTGAGGCTACAGTTCTGGATGGCACTGAAGTGAGGCATCTTGGATCCCTGTCACATGACCCGGTTATCGACCAGGGGATGATGGGGGGGCTGACCCTTATAGTCTCTGGGAACGGGTCTTGAGAAATGTGGCACAAAGATATCTGTGTGCAGATGATCTCTATATACAGCAAACTCGTTGGAAAACCATAGAACAAGGGATTCAGTGCTTGAGAGAAATGGCACTAGTAGAGATTGTCTTCTTCAATGACCTAAACACTAGAAATCCAGACTTGGTACCACGTACATCCGTGATGTGGCGAAAACTTGTCTGACTCGGGCCACAAGAATACCCTTCTGCATTAGCAATGATGAAGCAAGATGACAGGGAGGAGACCGTGATGGATATGATGAAGAAGCTCTGAACATATGCAGATACCATGCATGGCCCCACACATGCAAGAATCACAGCTGTGGAAGCACATCTGCAGAAATTAGAAGACAAGATAGAGGAGAACCTCAAGAAACTCAGGGAGGACCTTCTTCCAGTCTCAGCAGTCCAGACCAGGAGCCCTGGTACCCAACACAGAAGTTCTCCAGATAGGGAGAGAAAGCTACAAGCTGAGCTGTGGTTCTTCCTGCATGATTGTGGAGAAAACATGAGGAGATGGGATGGAAATCTGCTGCTGCTCTGGCAAAACGGATGCTTGAATTGGAAGACAGCAAGACTTAGAGGGGGAGTTCCAACAAAAAGAAAGCCACTCCAGTAGCCCATAGCCAAACTGCCAGGTATGACAATGATGACGATATGTCTGATCCCCTTGAAGGAACCTCCAAGACAGATGCCCAAGGAAAGAAGGATAACCAGGCTTAGAGGGGCCCTGCCTCTAGCCAGGTAGAGAGAGGCTAGGGAAAACTGTATCTTTTGGACTGTGTGGATCCATTGGCCTGGCACATCAGAACCACAAAACTTGGTTGTCTTGGAATTTTTTAGAGAACAGCTTCAGCCTCAGTATGACTCAATACAGCCTTCTAAAGACAGAATAGTAAGATTTGAGTTTCTGTCAAAGTAAGGGGCTGCATTGTCCCTTTGTCTCTGCCAGAATGCTGCCCTCCTTCCTCCCCCTTCTGCATTGCTGGTGGCAGATTTGTGTATCAAATACACCTGTGAACTTGTCCCCAGGTCATAGTTGTTAATGGCATTAAGCTATTGTCGATTTTGAGACCTGTATCTCCCTTCAGCCACAACCTGCCTAGCGAAGGCTGTGTGTTCCAGGTCTCCTGAGAAGGCTTGCTGGGCTCTGTAAGAAGGGTAATTCTCATCCTCCTCTGCAGATAACACACAGCTCTGTGGACTTGAGCAGTCTTGGCCTTGCTTATACCATACCTGAATGGGGCCTGGTGGTGCCAGCCACTTTGCTACAGGTGCTGGCTAATGACCTGCAACTGTCATGTCACCAGAAGCAACGTGACTTCCTTCCTTGCAGCCAGCTTTTCACAAGAGATACTGGTCACTGGCAATGTTAAAGGTCAGGGCAAGCCACTAACACAGGACAAAAAGATGTGGGGAAAAAAAAAAATCCTCTGCAGACTTTCCTGAATTGCACTTCACTGAAAATGTATTTGCTTTTATTTGTTCATTGAAGCTATTATTTTTTTCTTTCTCATTTGTTTAAATACTCATTCAGGGAAAGTTCCTTCAAACACAGACCCTAACAGTTGCTTTTTTGCCAGAAATGTATACCCTTAAGTGGTTAGCCTCTACTAAGTATAACTATAAAGGAAAACAGCCCTTGAACCAGCAGTCGATTTTAATGATAGGACTGACCTGCCACTGCTAGTCTTGCCTCTTTATTGCTTTCACCAACCACCAGATACTAAGTGGTTCTTTTAGAGATAGATAGGTTCTTTTAGAGATCCTTGGCAGAACTATGACAACACTAAATCATAGTGTTTACCGCTTAGGCATAACCATTATACAATAGCTTAACAATTAAAGCTTTATTTTCCTCAGAAGAATTTCATTATTACTATAGCACAGAATTTATTACAAGAATAAAACAGGATTTCTATGAACAGAATTACACACAGAATGGGTCAGGCTGGAAGGGACCACAGTTGGTCATCTGGTCCAACCTCACTGCTCAAGAGGGTCATCCTAGACCACACGGTACAAATGACTGGGCCCAGGCAGCTCTTGAGTACCAGTGAGGGAGACTCCACACCCTCTCTGGTCAATCTGTTCCAGTCTGTTCAGTCACCCACACAGTAACGAAGCTCTTCCTCATGTTCAGGTGGAATTTCCTGTGCATCAGGGTCTGCCCATTGTTTCTTGTCCTATTGCTCAGCCTCACTTGGAAGAGCCTAGATCCATCCACTTGACACCTTCCTTTTAGATACTTATAGACATTTATGGGGTCTCCTCTCAGTTGTCTCTTGTCAGATCAGTGTAGGGCAATCTCTAAGTAGTAAAATATACAATTCATAATACAATTTCATTTATTATTTCTGTTCACATGGACCCTCTGCAGATTGGTTTGGATCACAGCACACTGTTTATAGTATCAATATAACAATCATAATCTAGACTTGAAAATTATATAATCAAAAGAATAAGTCACTCTCTCAATCCTTAGAGAAAGCAGATGAAGGCAGAGGTATCCCTGGCTGTTGGGATGTCCCAGGTGTCACTGTCCAGTGACAGCTCTGGTCAGAGTTTCCTCCTCAGGACCCATCAAAGGTGGGATTTAGAGAGACTGCTGTGGGGCAGCAGGCAGGCAGTGCTGTGGGGCTGCAGGCAGGCAGTGCTGCGGGGCAGCAGGCAGGCAGTGCTGTGGGGGCAGCAGGCAGTGCTGTGGGGCTGCAGGCAGTGCTGTGCCTGCAGTCATCCACAGCACTGGGCTGGCCTGGTGGGACATGCAGGTGGGCAAGGAGTGATGTGAACCCGGCACCAG